GTTGCCGTAGCTGACGGGTCTCTCGCCCGTCAGGTTGCCGTAGCTCATCTCTCGCTCGCGAGCCTCCCGCTCGGCCTGCAGACGGCGACGGCGCTGGCCCAGCGTCTCGTCCTCGACGGCCAGGTTGTTGGGCGACTTCTTGCCGCTGCTCTTGTTGTCGGGCTCGTCGGGGCCGCCAAACTGGCTCAGCAGCTCCATGGAAAAGGTGCTGCTGACGGGGCGGGCCTTGGGCAGCTGCGACTCCGCCAGGCGGCGCTTCCTGGCGCCCAGCGTCTCCTCCTCGATTTCGGGCGCAGGCGGTTCAGGTGTGGCGGTCCTGGTGCGTGCACCTTCGTCTGCGCGCACGTCCGGCTCGATGATGCGCGGCGACGGAGCCGGGGGCTGCACCTCAGCAATGCGCGTGGGCCCCAGGCTCAGGTTGCTCTGGCGCTTCGCCGTCATGGCAATCGAGGTCCGTCCCTTGAGTCGGGCGGCGCGCTGGCTCAGCGGTTCATTCTCCTCCAGCTGACGGACTTCCATCAGTCCCAGGGGGCGTTCGACGTCGGCCATGTTCTTGGCTCCATGGTGCAGGGCGGCGATGACGGCCAGCGGCACGTCCTCGTCATCGGATGGGTTGTGGTCAGCGGCCACGGCCGGATCTTCCCAGGCAAGGTTGACGCGGCTCTTGAGGCGCTGCTTGCGCTGCATCTCAGCGACAGCATCCATCTCGAGAAGAGTAGCGCGCAGGCCTTGGGTCGCCACGTTGCCATTGTTGAGGATTCGCTGCTTCTGCTGCTGCTTGCGGAGGTGCAATTCACCGAGGAGCGTGGTGGGTACGCCATCGAGAATGCCGTCTTCAAGCTGCTCTTCCTCTTCCTCCGATTCCTCCTCCTCTGATTCCTCTTCATGGACATCGCCGTGGCCATCGCCCTGCACGGCGGCGGGGTCCGGGTTACTGTTGGCTTTGCCAAACAAGCTGCTGTGGCTTCTCCTTGAAAGCAGCTTGATGGTAGACTTTTCCTTGGACTCTGACTCGGCAGGCGGGACATCAAGCTGCTGTGACTTGCGCTTGGTGTCCTTCTTCTTCGTCTTCTTCTTCTTAGCCTTGCCGTATACTTCGGCGCCCAGCTTGCCGGCGTACAAGTGGTCGGTGAAAGCACTGACGGGGGCAGTCGCCGAGGCATCGAGGATGCTCTCGAGCGTCGCCATGGCTGACCCATCCTTGACCTCGATCTCGGGGAGCTCAGACGGCTGCTCAAAGAAGACGCTGGCTCGGAGATGCGGTGGCAGGTTGAGGCCGCCAGTCGACTTGTGTTTATCATTGTCCATCTTCGACAGCCGCTGAGACTGACGAAGTTCCTCCAAAGAGGCTGGCTCTCCTCCCCCTGCTTGCGCTGAGGCCTCCTCAAGCCAGCCGGTGGGCGTGGTGGCATCGTCGCCAACCCCCAGCCCGTCGGCCACCGACAGGGCAGCAAACGAGTTGCGGTGGCCGGACAGCGGGTCGGGCAGGG